CTGTGGGCCGGGCAGGCGTGTAGCTTCCCGTCAGCCAGGAAGCGTTGGCAGTCCTTGATTCTCAAGGTGGTCCATGCATGGCAGGCAGATACACCTGCAGTGGTGTTTTATAAATCAAAATAAGTATGAATTTAAGCAGGGACCAACTTTACCGTCATCCTTGCTTAAGGAACTAGCCTTTTGCATCCTCTTTGGAGAATTATTGTTTTTGTTGTTTTCGGAAAACAGCAAAAACTGGCTTTGTCTTCCCTTCCTTCACTTAGCATGAGTATTTTGCCTTGTGCCAAATGGTGGTTATATTATTTTAAAAGTAAACACTTGCATCTTGTAAGGAATTTAATCACACTCTTTCCCCAGTCTCCCCTCCCTCGTGCCCCCCGCCCCCCAACCCCCTCAGAAAAGAAAGAAAAAGAAATCACACCCTTAGCCGTCTTTTCCCACTAGTGAGCAGTGGGTTTTCAGAGGCAGCTGATGGAAGGTTGTGATGAGGCTTAAAGCGGAAGTGTCGGCAGGAAGTCAGCTCCCCTCTGTGCAGGTCTGGAGCTGGTGGCAGTCACTACCACTGAGGTGTCTGGCCTATGGGAGAAAGAGCCGCCTTTCCTCCACCTCACTAGGCCCCTCTTGTTGACCCTACTTAAAAATACAATCTTGGGGCCAGAGGGTTAGCTGAAACCAGAGGGCGGAGAGCCTGAGCACCTGTGGGGAGAAATCTCATTGGCACCAGGTGCTGGGGGCCTGAGGCAGACAGAGCTTGTGCGTCTGAAAGGTTGGGAGGAGAGAAGACAGGGAGCAGACATCGTGGAATCTTTTAAGAGCACTTTAAGAGCAGTCAGATTCCTGAGCATAGGAGCTGGGCAGAAAAGGGAGGAGGGCCTCTGGCCTAAGATGTGGAGGGCATGTGAGGAGTAGTTCTTCTCTTTTGTGATGACTGGGGTTGGGTGACAGGAACACAGCCTACTCCTAGCTGTGCGTGCATCCAGGAGGGGTGTGGAGTGCATGGGGCATTACGAGCTTTCCTGTGGACTTGGACAGCATGCCATTGAGGACTTGAGTATGAGAAGCTTCATCTCCCCCTTTAGACTGAGTAGAGCTTCCATTTGAGCACTTGGAAATATTTCTTTTCTCTTCCATTAGTTTTAATTATTAAAGCTGCTCCTGGATTCAATTAGCTAGTAGAAATAAATAATTTAAATTACTTTTCTATACATATCTATTGATTGATGGCAACACAGAACTGAATTTAACCCTTTTCACATCTTCTGTTCACCAGCTAAGTTTATTTTTTCCTCCCTCGAGAGCTCACTTCATTTGAAAAGGTGGTAAGTTTCTGAAAAGAGCTTGACCGTAATGATATGCTTTTATGCTTTTGGACTTGGGGGTAGACAGAAGAAACCCCAAGTCTGCTGCTTTTCTTCTTAAGGTAATGCAGCAGATTTTAGTGAACATTAGGAAATGCATATTATATATACGTACACATGTGTGTGCATATATATCCATGTTTATGTAAATATATACACTCATGAGGGAGGGAGAAGGGGAAGGAGGTCAGAAGTGGTGAAATGAACCTATATGGTCAAAAGACCATAAAATGTCTTAGCGAATCCAGCTTCGTAGGGAAGTTATTTAGGTGAACCATAGAAAAAAGTATCAGTCTTGGAAGCAGTGGTCAGAGTGGACCATTGTACATAAATGAAAGGTGGCTGGTGTGCAGTTTCCCCAAATCAGATATTCACTTAGGTGGAATCGACTGTATCTTTTACACAACATATAGAAAAAAAAAAACAGGTGAAACAAGTGAGGTGTGTAGATGCATCACCAACATACAATGACCACCAACGATACAACACGCAGAGAGAGAAACAAGTATTAGGAAAATGGTTTAATATTGGAGACAGAAGCCAAAAACCGCATCACACAGTAACATACATTACAAAAATAAGTTTGACTGTTTCAACTACACGGTTATGTTCACAATGAGGACAGAAGAATCAGAAAAAACTTTGATCTAAACAGCAAAAAAGCAAACCCCTAAAGTTTAACTAATACATTTATCCACTTAAGGTGACTGAGTACTTCTAAATCTAATTACCTTATTGTGTAACTGCACAATACAGAATAAAAAGTGAAACTTACCGCTGTATTTTAAGACAAAATTCTAATGCTAGATATAAGCAAAGGGAAAAAAGAAATCAAGCCAAAGTTTTTAATTCTCAAAAGAAAAGCAACTTTCTTTCTATCAACCAGAAATCAAACTTGAAATCAGTCATTATCAGGGGGCCCACGAGAGTAAGCCACAAAAATTTCCATTTTTTTTTTAATCTCCAGTATAAAAAGTTCCACTGGTACAAAATGCATAAGTACAATCAGTTGTAGAAATAGGAAAGCCTGCGTATTTTTTTTTTGGCTCAAATTCCATCAAACAACAAAATCCAAATGCATCAATAAAACAGAAACAATACTCAAATGGTCTTACAGTTTCCACTAGGTTGCATTAACTTTGGCTTTTCTCAGACAATATTTAAAAACTATTTTGTAATTCTAAACAAAATGATATTATTAATCTACAAACAACAATTCTCACAGCACAAAAAAACACAAATACATTTTTTGTATGACATTATTCAAAAAGGTAATGAAACTACAGGTTTTTTTAAAATTTTATTTCTTCTTTTTAATTAGCACTTAATAAAAACAGAAACAGTAAAATGATTCCAGAGTAGCACAAGCCAAAGAACTATAACCCCTATGGTGAAAGAAAGATGAACTCGTTACGCCTTTGAGGACTGCCATTTTGTCACAATTCTCTAATTTAGTTTAAAAATGACTATTCTCTACACTTGATTTAAAAAAAGTCACTTCCCTGCGTGTTTTGTCTCCTGGCACAGGCCCTTTGCACCCTCGCAGCTGTTTTCCTTTTGATATTAAAAGATAAAAAGGACAGTTTGTCTCTGAGGAGGTTTTTTTTTTTTTAAACAATGAAACATGCAAAACCAATCCCCCCCCCCAAAAAAAGGACTTTCATCTTAGATACACTGTCTTGATTGCCTGCAAAATCAGAAATGCTCAAAGTGCCCACCCTGAGCCTCCTGTCAACTGCTCTCAGTTTTTCTGTGGGGGAGATGCAGGTGGGTTAAGAGGAAAGGAGGGCAGTTGCTTTGGTAAAAAAAAATAAATAAAAAATAAACAAAACCCCAAAAACCAAAAATCCCCAAAACCAAACTTTGAGATTAATGTAATTGGTAAAGGAATAGATTTGGAATGAAATGGTCTAAGAAATTCCAATGGTGTTGTCTTGCGTTTCTGTGTAAGTATCTCTACACCACCATGACACATGAGAGACGTGTGCAATAACCTGTTACTAAGCTGAGTGCTGCAGGAAGTACAAAATAGCCCTCAGAGGCTGCAGGAAGGCCCCGGCAGTAGTAAACACGTGTGAGGATAATACAAATCATTTCGTTAGAAGTGCATGTGCTGTAAGAAGGAAACTTCTGTTTTTGTTTTTTGCATCATTAGAGGCTAGTCCTTTCCATCCCAGGGCTATCACGTCCACACGCACATTAAACCAAACAGGGCGGGTAGGAAAAGGGAGTTGAGACCAAGAAGCTTCCAGGGCTGGCTTTCAGGAAGGCTGGGCTTTGTGGTGGGGCTGTAGGTATGACATTCAGGTTTGTCAAGACAGCAAGGTATCTGTTCACAGAAAGTCCAAGTGAAAGTAATATGGCACTTTAAAAAGTGGCAGCAGGAAGGTATTTGGTCAAGAACCCAGCTCTACTATGTGGCCAGTCTCCTTTGTGTTCAATCAGTGTGTTCAATTGAAGAACCAGAAAGCAAAAAGTGCAGGGGAGGGGGCTCTGGGCTTCTCCCTTAAGACACCTTGCTCGTTCAGAGGTGTCCACTGGAGTCAGAGAATTCCCAGCACAGTAGCTGATTGAAGGTTATTTAGGAGCATTTAAAACACAAAAGTAAAATTCCTCAAAAGACAGTCCTACCACAAAAGTTGTCTGACTGTAAGTATATGAAAATATTCTAGACTAGAACATACCACTAAATCTGTTCTCAAAAAGCATACGGCATTTTTAAGGTTTTTTTAGGAACTGAATCTACCTACTTCCCCCCATTTTTTCATTCAAACTGAAGAAGGAGCACAGGACATTAGGAATTCTAATTCCAGCAGCACATTAGGAATGAAAAAAAAAAAAAACCAGAAGTAATCAAAAGTAAAAATGTCATAGGACAAAATTTGGAGAATGTTTGAGTATTTTCCCCCTTCAAATTTGCCTTGTGGAATTTTGGCTCTCAAAGGAAAAGAAAGTAGTAAAAATTTATCACTCAGCTGATATATGTGGGTGGGAAAAAGGAACACCCCAAAACAAACTCAAGTGATGACAGTTTATAAAAAGTTACCAACATTCCAGATAGCTCTGGGTAGAAAGGGTTAAAAGTTCAAAACTTTCTCACCTTAGAGGTTTCCATATAGTATGAAGAAAATACATTGTGAGGGTGCCTTCACAGCCTTGATGTGCAGAGGGGTTAAAAAAGTGAGACATGGGCACTTATACAATGTCTTACAAAAAACATCATAGAGAAATAACAAACAATAACAATTTCAGGCAACAAGACCACAGAATAGCAAGTTAACAAACTTTTTAACCTTTTTTTTAAATATTAGGGATTTATACAAAACACATAATAAAATACCCATGTTATCAAATTACTTCTCACAAGAAACACACTGAAGCTCTAGGAAGGAAGTACCTTTGGAATTTGGCACTATATATTTTCACTTTTTTTCTTTAAAA